TAAGAGGGCACACTCACAATCAAACCGAATTCCAACTGTGTAAACAGCATTGTTCAATGTCTGGGACTGACTCCCGATCTTCTGGGTCACATCCTATGCTCTGCCCCCAGCAGCACACACAGCTTACCTTCTAGGCTTTGGCTGGCTCCACTCCGCTGCTACTTCTGTCCTTGGTGTCGGGACCCAGGGTACTGGCATCTCCGACACTGCTGGGGTCCTCGCTGCAACTGGACTGAACTTTCACCAATAGCCTCTCCTGGGCTCTACGTGGAACCAAACCTCAGCTTCTCATGACCCTTTCATTCCTGGATCGTGAACTGCTACCGAGGCTGCACCTTCACTCATGGTCTCTCACAGTGCTAAGCTTCAAGTTGCTCTACATACACGATCCCTTCATGAAGGACCCCAACTAGTTTTAACCACAGTTATACCGTTTTGCAAAGGTTCACAGATAACTAGCTCAGGACCTCCGGAATGCTGAGCAAATAACAGGCTTAATTAAGGGCCTCCGGAATTCAGGGCCTCCGGAATGCTGAGCAAAGATACCTGAGGTTAGAGCAAAGACAGCCTTATCTGGTTGCAAGACAAAGGATTTATGGACTAGCCATAGAAACAAAGAAAGAGGATTGCGAGGCCTGAGTCACGTATAAAGCGGGGCTCGTCACGAGTCAGGGGCTGTGCAATCAGACATCTGGTCGCCAGCCAGGAAAGGGGGGGGCAGGATGAGAGGAACAGTAAACCGCTGAGTAGTCCCCTCATTGTTATCTAGGTTAAGAATTTACCACCCTGCATCTCGCTTCTGTAAACCTCGCTTTTTGCTCTCCTATAAAAACCCCTCACCCCCAACCTGCAGGCGCGCAAGTCCTCCGAGAGACTTGGTCGCTCCAGGTACCTGCGTATCCCCAATAAACCTCTTGCTGTTTGCATCCGGCTGCGTGTTTTCGACTGATCTTTGGGCATGGGGTCTCTCCCGAGGGAAGACGCCCACGGGAGTCTTTCCTTCATGCCTTCAAAATCAATACCACCTGGGTCACTCTTAAACTACCAGTTCAGTTTAAAGCATGAGACACAACCTAGACCAGTTCCAGAACATGGCTTCTCTGTGCTCTCAGGAAACACTTCTCAGGAGATTTCACCTAAGTGACGCTGGTCTCTTTTTAATCACTGCTAATTTCTTACCTCCAGCCAACCAGTATCAATTGTCCCAGTAGTGCAAAGGTTTCACTTCAAGGGTGCTTGTCTCTTGATAATCGAGGCTGATTCTTCAGCCCCAGCTAACAAGAATGATAGACTCTCAGTTCAAAGTAGCAAAGAACCCCGATAGAATCGTCAAGCCCCCCCCCCCAAACATCCCAAGCCAGGCCTCCATCTTCTGCACTGCCCTTAACATTCTCAGCTTCCAAGCTCCTACAGAACATGCCACAGAGCTCTTAACACTCAGTTGTAGGGCCCGGGTCTTCCCTCGCTCCCTGGGGTGCAAGTCTCAAGGACTGTTTTGGTTAGCCAGCTAAGCTTCCTGCTAGTTTCTGTTATCTCTGCCACAGCCTGGTGATTTAGCTGTAGGGCTTTGTTTTATCTTTGGTATGGTAATTTCCCACCTGTCCGGGAGAGTTCCCACAGGGCGCCAGTTTCTCTCCACTGCTGCAGCTGCTCTCTGCCCCCAACCCCCTGCCTGGGAAGGAGTTCCCACACAGCGCCAGTCCCCACCCCTCTGTCCCCCTGGCTGGGAGGGAATTCCTTTACTGGGGCCCTAGTATATTAGTTTGGCAAAAAGCTGAATAAAGTGGCATTCGGTGATCTCTTGTCGAATGACCATGATCTCTTGTGTCTTTTGTTCAATCTCCAGACCTTTGCCCAAACTCACGTTACACTCAGTGGCTCTTTTGCCCAAAGTTCCAGAGTCCTTCCTTTATCCTCCCTAAACCATGACCAGGTCCATCACAGCATATCTCACTGTCTTAGTTAGGACCACGGTGGCTGTGATGGAACACCATGACCAAAAAGCAAATTGGGAAGGAAAAGGTTGATTCAGCTTACATTTGTACATCACTGCTCATCCTTAAAGAAATCAGAACAGGGACTCAAGCATGGCAGGAACCTGGAGGCAGGAGCTGATGCAGAGGCCATGGAGGGGTGCTGCTTACTGCCTTGCCCCCATGGCTTGCCTGCTTTCTTACAGAACCCAGGACCACTAGCCCGGGGAAGGCACCACCCACAATGAGCTGGGCCCTCCCCCACTGATCACTTTTAGGTGGCCGTGTCAGAGGAGCAGCAGGAGGCAATTGAAGTTCAAGGTGTTGGTCCACCAGGAGGCAATTCCCCATGGATGAATCTCTGATAGACCCTGAGGCCCTGAGACCTCAGACTCTGAAATCTGGCAAGGTGTGAATGGGTGTGGGGAGATCCTCACTGCCTGGAATATAGTATGCTTATCTCATTCTGTTGGGTATTTTTACCTGTGGATTATTATGAAGGTGATTTCTTCCTAAGCTGTGCTCTCTGATTGATAATAATAATGTTTATACAGAGTTTTGATAAATAAAAATACATACAAGGACATGTTACAGAGCTAGGGCCTATGAGTTTCACCTAAGGAGCTGCACAGATTGCAGCTCAAGTTAATGATTAAGAAAAACAATTGAGTCCCAGGAACCAGGCTGACTCCAATTCCTTTCATCTTAGTGTAGAAAGAAGCACTCACAGGCTTCGGTGTGCATTAGCTCAAAGCCTCACAATAACCTCAGGTTAGATCAGATGCTTTGATAATAGCTCTGAGGTAACAAACCCAAGAAGACAATCTAAAGTTTTAGAAAGCCACATAGTTGAATGAGGAACTCTTTAAGTTCAGAGAACAAGAACAAAGCAGCCTAATTAATTTTTTTTTGATGATTGACAGCGATCTAGCATCGATCGCTATCAGAGCGCAAAACGGGACTCGAACCTGCGTCCTCTGGCACTAGAGCAGAGCGTTAGGTGCTCCTAGCCGCTGAGCCACGGCTCCAGCTGCTGAAAGCAGCCTAATTATTACTAGCTGACACACTTTCCTTACTAGGATTGGTTGATGACCAAAGGTGATGATTAATTCCTTGTACCCATTTCTGCCCTCAATCTCCTGATATAAAAAATATTGACGAGTGTGTATGGACTCTAAACATTTAAAGTAGAGCTTGCTGATTCTTCTCCATATACAAAATTTTAGATTCATGATTTCTTTAAGATTCTTTGTAAGATTACCTTTTAAGATAAGTAGTAAAGTGATTGGTCCTTTCTTTGCCTCTACAAAATGCAGCCTGCCTGTAGAAGATCTTGCTTGCTTACACACTGCTGATCCATAATAAGTCGCTTACACACTGCGGATGTATAACAAGTTGCGTGGGTGTGAATGTGCCTGGGTTCTTGGGACAATCGATTTCTCACCTGTCATACAGAAAATCATGGAAGGGATATGGAAAACAGGCTGTGTTTTATTTGTACTCATTGTAATAATTCACTTGAAAAACAGAATGTAACCACACTGTAATTTTTATGCTGCCTGAAAGATTTTCCTGAGGTATATAAGATGTAAGAGAAAGAATGAAGACAGTTAAAATAGATTAGAAGGAAAACATCAAGAATAAAGTTAGAAGGAAAACATCAAGAGAGATAGAAGGGACATTTCTGGATAGAGATAAGAAAAGAGAAGATAGAACACAGAAGAATAAAGAAGGAAACCTTCAAGAGACAGTGTGTCTTTTCCCTTAACCCCCTCTGCTATGGGAGAATGCTCTTGTACACGGTAAAGATTTGTCACTTGTATTGGTTTAATAAAATGCTGATTGGGCAATAGCCAGGCAGTATAGGTGGGACAACCAGACTAGGAGAATTCTGGGAAGAGGAAAGGCAGAGAATCAGACCAGCCATATGCAGAGGAAGCAAGATGAGCATGCCTTACTGGGAAATGGTTCCAAGCCACATGACTAACCATAGATAAGAATTATGGGTTAATTTAAGTTGTAAGAGCTGGTTAATAATGAGCCAGAGCTAATAGGCCAAACAGTCTATAATTATATAAGCCCCTGTGTGTTTCTTTGGGACTGAATGGCTATGGCACTGGGTGGGGACAGAAACTTTGTTTACACCTCTCAGATAAAGAAGTCACAGTAAGTGCTGACTCTGTGGATTCCCTTTGAACCCTGTACTGCTGGGGCTGGTCCCCAAGACAGTGATAATCAATAATTGAGGAAATGCCTTCCTGCTGGAGCCATTTCCTCAACTGAGGCTTCTTTCTTTCTGGTGACTCTAGTGTATGTAAAATTGACATAAAGCCAATCAGTACAATACCCAACTGCTCATCTTTGTCTACAGAGGTGATTTTTCAAGCTTTAATTCTAAAACCATTCATGGTTGGCTGGCTTTATTACTGGGCCTGTGGAGGAGCAGAAATATGGTGTTGGAAGCAGACAGAAGAGGTGGTACACCTCATGGGTGAGCAAATCAGAAAGGAGAAGGAGAGGTCAGGGTAGAGAGATCCTGCCCCAGCCCAAAGGATGCTACTCTCAAGGTCAGGCTGGTTTATTCTCTCTGGAAACTTGCCCCACAGACACCCAGAACATGCCTTACAAATCCAGTGAGCTGGGCACAGCGGTGCTTGCCTTTAATCCCAGCACCTGGGAGCCAGAGCCGCGTGGATCTCTGAGTTCAAGGTCAGCCTGGCCTATACCACGAGCTCTAAACCAGCCAGGGCTGCATAGTGAGATCTTGACTCTAACACAAAAACAGGACTGGAGAGGTAGCTCGGTGGTTAAGAGCTCTTATTGCTCTGTACGAGGCCTTGGCTCAATTCCAAGTACTCACACGGTGGGTGGCTTATTCCTGTTCCAAAGAATTTGGTGCCCTTTCCTGACTTCCATGGGCACCAGGCACACATGTGATGCACAAACATACACATTGGCAAAACACTCACGTCTCAAAGGAGCAAATCTAACAAAAAACAAATGAAATCTGCATACAAAATCCTGAAATAAAAGTGACAAACACTGAATGATCTCTTTACTGTATTAATGAACTCAAGGCAAATTAGCACATAAACCCTAAAACAATAACAATAAAAATATATTATTTTATACTTCTGGCACCTGAAATAAAGACAAATAGAAAAACTATGTTAAAACATTAAAAAGTTGCAAATTTTCATTAAAGGTATTTACAATGTATTTCAGTATCAGATATGACACAATTCTTTTAAATTAGGTTTAATAGAATATCTTTTATGAAAAATAATATAAATAAATATTAAATATCCACAACGTGTCGTATGTGAAGCTTGAGGAGTGTTCCACACTTTGATATTATGAATGGTGGGCTCTTAGCTCCTTCCCTGAATCAAGCACAGTGGTGTGGAGCTTTGAGGCTGCCAAGACCGCCAGTCACCTCTGTGGAAACTCATGATTCTGTAACAGGCAAACACGGGAGCTAAAATGAGGGATTCTTTTTTGTTCTGTTTAATTTTGAGGCAGTGCTTCCCTTGAACTTGTGGTGAGCTTCTGACTCGGGCCTCTCAAGTGCCAGGAGCACAGGCGTGAGCCACCACGCGGGCCAAGAAGGATTTAGTTACAGCAGAGAAGAAGCACCACAGGCGTCTGCCTCCATTGTGGTCTGCACTCTAGACGGCTAGCAGACATGGGCCGGCGTCCGACCTGTGGCACCTGTGCTTGGCTCTAAGTCGTTTCGCGCTCTCTCCACACTAAAGGCCTCTGACAGGATAGGATCCTCCTCTCAACAGATCCTGCTCCACTCTCAGCCAGCACAATAGCTGTTTGCCAAAAGCAGGGGTGAGCTCAAGGGATTAACTACCCAGCATGCTCGCTGCTCAGGCACCTATACATATGGATTTTTACATGGTTGGGAATTTTAAAGAAATATGCCTTAATTTTATAATACTCATTTTCTTAATCCTAGACACTTCAAAGGGAAATGAGGAAAACCTCAGGAAGCAGGCACAGTGTAGCGCCTCAGTGGCCCCCTTCAGCCTGTGGCGGAGACAGGGGCATGAGTTTCAGATGGACTCAGTTCTTCCCACAGATGCTTGTGTGACCGGAGCTCCTGGGAGGAAGGCGGGTGGAGGATGCTGACAGCTGTCCCCTGAGGTCTTGTGAGTGACATCCTGTGAATGATCTGGGAAAGTGGGTTCACTTACATCACAGGGTGTAACACACCTGATGTGGAGGCTCTGGGTAGCAAGGTGTGCGGGCCTTATCTTTGTAGGTTAGCAAAGGTGGAAGGTGCTCTCTTGTGCCGTAAAGAAACTGAGGCTTGCAGGTGGGCTATGGTCAGGTGAGAAGAGGGTAACCAGGGGACATCACCCAAAGTCCATTTAGGACTCTGCAGCAGAGCATCTGAGCCTGCTGAGGGAAGGCATCAAGGTAGGGCTGTCAGTGGGTAATGGGGACAGGTGTGCACAGGAACACTGGGCAAAGTATGTCCTGGAGGAGCTTGTTCTTAGGACAGTTGCCTTCTGCTTGCTTCCCTTTATTGCTTGTTGCTGTATATGGTCTGACAACCTAGCAGGCAGGTCGTGAGAGAGATGACACAGAAGGTTCAGTCTGGCTTGCTGCTGTCTGCTAGGGCCACCAAAGCTGAGCTTAGCCCTGTGCAAAGTCTAACATGTGCAACAGACACTAGTGAGCTCAAAGTTTGGGGTACATCTCAGTAGTAAGGAAAGTGGGTGCTGTACTTGCTGGCTTCCTGAGCAAGAGGTACTTCTGTGCCTGGGCACTGACAAAGGGCCCAGTACCGTGGGGCCTAGCGTGGGACGGGTTCTTTGGTCATATCCATACACTCTGTTCCTGCGACACAAGAGGCCAAGGACAGCAGGCACAGAGTCCTGCATCACTATGTCAACACTCATGGCTTAGAACGGGGAAACTTGCACAGCCCCTGGCAGAGACAGAAGTGGAAACTGTCACCGTCTCATGTACGTCCTGCTGGAGCTCTTACTCAGGCCCCCCTTTGGGGTGGGGATCTTGCTTCCAACCTTGGGTCCTGAGGTGCCCGACTTCGATGCTGCTGGGCCCTTCCCTGTAGTGGAGACAGATGCACAGGACACAGAACCACATGAAAAGAGGAACTCTTTCCTGCAGGTGGACTGCAGACCCACAGTAACTGAGAATGGCCGAGAACACACACTAGGTTAGAAATGCACATGGCAGCGGGACAGGAAGACACAGAATGCATGGCACAGAAGGCCGTCAGTTCAAAGACCCAACTCCAGAAATGTGGCAGCAGCCACAATGAATGTGGTTGAAATGAACCTGACCTGACAAGGAGCCATGGGCCTCTGTCCACTTACTTCTAAGAGGCTGGTTAAAGAGGAGATCTTGCCGTGTGAGCTCTGCCTGAGCCACTATTTCCCACAGAACCAGGAAGGGAACGGGGAGCCTTCCTTGTGCGTAAGTACTGAGCTTATGTGCATAAGGAAGAGCCACACCCCCAGAACCGGCCAAAGGTCTTCTGTTCTCTGGGACGGTGTCTTAATCTGAAATGAATGCCTTAGATGGTGGGCTGAAAGAAGGCAATAGCTTCCTCTGTGAGTGCAGTCTAAATCCTTCAGGGTGCAGCAGCTGTGGGGAGCCTTACCAGCCCCCAGTGAGCTGCCAGGAGGCATCTGCGGGGAGCAGCTGCTCCTTGGAGAATAGGGTTAGCAGGTCAGATGCACATGGGCAGGAAACTCAGGATGCATCTCACCTAAGTTGCTGCAGAACACAGGGCCTCATGTGTGACTTCTGACTCACCTTGCTGCGGGGCTGTGGCCCTGCACAGAACATGTGTCTTGCGCAGGTTCATTGTGCAGCCAGCAGGGCCCATCAGATGAGCCTTCCACGCCTGCAACAAAGAGGAGGCACAGCATATTAGCCTGGTGGCTCCAAGGGACCTGGGGCGCTGCCAGAGTACACAACACACTGTTTAAAATGGGAATGAGGTGCCAACCAGTGAGAGGCCTGGCTCCCTGCCCCTCTTTGGCCTTAGCACCCAAGTCTTACAGGCTGGTTTTGCATTTCACATTCCACCCTGGATGACTGGAACCTGAGTCCTGTGGCTACGAGGACTTATTTTTGCCAGCTGCTAGAAGGCACTAGGCAGCGGCTCTTCCCTTGTTGAGCTGCAGGTGAACATGTAGGTTAGCTAGCAACTCCGTGGCAGCCCAGGAGGTCATGAACGCCAGCCCAGAGTCAGGGGAACCATGAGGTGGTAAATGGGTGTTGTCATACAGAGTTAAGGTGGCACAGACACTCAGAATAGGGAAGGCAAGTGACAGCGAACAGCCACCGACACGGAGAGGGTACTAGTGCATGGCAGATGGTGGGCACAGAGGGCAGAAAGGAGGAAGCTGCTGGCTGGTTCAGTACTGCTCAGGGCAGAGACCAACAGAGCGAGGGCAAGAGAGCGAAGACCGTGGGCAGCTGGAAGGGGGTCAGTAAAGGCAGCGATGATGATGAAAAACGAAGGCTCTCAAATTATAGACGAGCAGGGGAAGACGAGTCTGGACGTGCAGGTGTGAACACGTCTTGTTAGCATGGGGCAGCAGGGCTAAGCACAGCAGTCGCAGCCTGGATGCGGTTCTTAGAACAAGCCCTACTTACAGACTGGGGAGACCTGTGAAATGGAAACAACGCACCCAAGCAGGTCTTCAGTGGGTGTCCAGGCTGCTGGAGCCAAGCCCTGGGCTCCAGAACAGAACCCGATAATAGCAGGGGCTGGACCCACCGACTCCAGCGTTGTCCTAGGGCAGACACATTAATTCTGTGTCCTTGGTCCTTTTTGGTTGGTGAGGCTACAACTTGGGACGGGGGAGGAGGGAGCATGCTGGGATTCCAGGAAGACAAGGTGAGAAAGGTGCACCGGCTGGGTGTGGAAGGGAGACAGCAGACAGCAATGTGTACTGACAGGGTTATGACATGTAATTGGATCAGCTCTGTCCACTGTGGCTTGGCAGCAGTGGTCCTCCCTGTGCTGAGGCCTGCTGAGAGAGAGAGAGGGCCACACATCTTGGCAGGACAGCTAATTCCTGTCTGGGCAGAATGTTCCAGACAGGAGGATACAAGTCAGCCACAAAGCCTCAGGAGACCAGGCAAAAGGACCTTACTGTCCAGAGGTGATCATCCATATGGGCAGGGATGGCCATGGCTCTGTATCTACTCTCATCCATGAGTTTAGCAAAACACTAAAAGCAGACAAGCTGCCACCTAGTCACTAGTGAGCTGGCCTGCCATTCTGAAAGCCGCTTAGAGTTGTGTAACAGGTTCCTTCAAGATTGGAAAAAACCTCATTCTGTGGGAAAGCTACTTAAGCAGGAAGGTAAACAGCTTCAGGAAGCCCCCAAACTGACCAGGCTCACTACACCCTCCGCCAGTGACTGCAAGTCAAGCTGCAAAGACCCTGAGACCAGCCCAGCGACCAGAGTCACCAGGAAAGGACGCCCCATCCAGCTCTGCCTGCAGGCTGTGCAGTGTGCTCCAGGTTCCCAGATTCAGGGACCTGTCGCTCACGCTGGGGCGAGCTTTGGTGATACAACAGTCTCTTCCTATAAGCAACCCCTCACTTACTCTCCTCCTAACACCCCAGTACTACTCAGGCGTCACCAAGTTGGACTTTGGTAGTTTCTGTGCTGTTGTGGGCTCCTTCTCTGGGGTGGATAGACGTGTGTTGTGTCTCCCCAGTGAAAGTCTTGTCACACAACACTGGGGATGAAGAAAGGTGACAGGAAAGAACACTGGACTCCATAGCATCTCCTGGGGCAGAAGCACAGCCAGGAGAAGGTCTCCAGAGCTGTCTGGCATGTAGGGCACCACCACCGTACTGTGGCAGATGAGGGTAGACCCGTGGATACCTTGGCCCCTGGACGCATCCCCAAACACCAGAGGCGAAGCACAGGTGTCACCATGCCACCTGCTCAGGGCAGGAGGCGAGCATGGCACTGAGTAGGAAGAGAACCATCAACCTTCATGGGGCATATTATTTTACTCCAAATGGTTACGGGCTACAGACCTGACCATGATGCCAGGGAGGCCTGGATCCACACATGAAAGCCACACCATGAAGTGTAAAACCACGGGTGCTGACTGCCCAGTGACTGAGACTCTGCTGTTAGGACGTCAGGAGGGCACTGTGCCTCCTAACTGTCATCCTGAGAGTGCATTCAGTGTTCCCCTGCTGTCCCACCTTGGTTCAGGCCCCCTTACCTCTTCTCCAGGGGCAAAGTTCTCATGACACAGAGGACAGCGGTTTGCCACCTTCTCTGATTTGGCAGCTGAAATGATTTCGATAAAGACTTGGTTACTTGGATGACCCCTCGGTGAGAGGAAGGGTCCATCCATTCCCACAATGTCTAGATGACACTCACGGTTGCACTCCTTGGTTTGGATGTGCCTGGGAAGCTCCTCTGTGGGGACAGCCTCGCTGCAGCGGTGGCACTTCCCAAACCCATGCCTTTTGTCACACTCTGTCAGCAGGTGCTCCGTCAGGCTGGAGATCTCAACCACCTGCACAAGACAGAGCCAAGTGACTTTGTGGGCCAGAGCAGCTGTTCTGGATCCTCTGGCATTTATTTAACCAACAGTGTCCTTAGTCACACAGTTTGTAGAGACCCTGGGTCCTCCTCATGTCACCTGAGTGCTATGTAAAGGCCATGGTATGGGCTGGGGCTACAGTTGATCTGAGTGTCCGCTGTGGCTCTGGGTTCAAGTTCTGGCTCCCCAGTATTTCTAAGAATGTACATATGAAGAAGGTTCTCCCACTCATCTGACACTTGATCAGAATACCTTCTGCACAGCCATGGAACCACATACTGCTGAAGAGGTCAGCTGCACACCTGGGGCTGTCAGAATTTGTATTGCCGGATAGAGGAATGAGTGTCCAAAGGGTGGGACCTGCCCTCTTACATTCTTCCCTGTGCACCAGAGGAAACGAAACACTTCCCTCTGTCTTCCTTGTTTGAAGAGGCCCAGAGCAGGAGGGAAGCAGACCAGGGCATGAGCCCTAGAAGGACTGGCAGGGGGACAGCCTGAATTAAAGACCTCTGTTGTGGGATATTTGTACACTGTGTGAAGATGGGCTGTGGTTGGTGTAATAAAAAGCTGAATGGCCAATAGCTAGGCAGGAGGCATAGGCAGGACTTCTGGGGAAAGAGTGGAAGGGGAGATAATGGAGGCATGCAGGAGACACCACCGAGACACAGAACGACTCGGACACACAGAATGGGGGAGAGGTTGTGCTTTTGTTTCCACAGGAAATGAAAAGCTACGGATTCCTTCAAAGTTAACAAAGATCAGATCTGACCAGGGGAGACCTCTGAGAATCTTGGCTGCAGATGTGAGGGAGGACGACAGGAAAGACCACAGGACAGAGGACATGGATGCTGGTCCCTTGACATGGGAACAGCTCTGAGTGGGCGAGACATGATAAGTCCTTCCATGGCATGGATAGAGGTTTGGTTATACAGTGCAGACAGACTGTTTATAAGGTTGGCAGATGCCTGTTACCTGCTCGAACATAGAGCAGAGAATCATCTTTAGCTGACTGTGCTTACTGCACATCCTGTACTTGTGTTAATGCTGATATGTTCGCTACCTTTAAAAGTCTATGTGTTTTCAGAAGAAAAAAAAAAGGATCAGACACCAATGAAGTCAAGTAGCCCAGCTGATCCAGCCTCTCAGAAAGCCTCAGGTACAGTTTCCTCAAAATTCTGCATCCAGAACAATTTCAAAGTTGCTAGCTAAGATGGTCCAGTCTCATAGACTCTTCTAGTCAGGACTTCAGATAAGCCCTGCACTTTCCCATCACACAGAAACTAAACAAAAAATAATATAAATAGCTCTCCTAGGACTTGACCATTATCCCAATTTTATCAGGATCCCCTATAGGTACCATCACCCCCAGACAACAGGAAGCAGTATAGAAAACCTAATACCTGCATTCCCAAGAGGTGGGGTGAATGGTTTTTGGTCTTTTGGAAGGTTAAGAATGTTTATCATCATTTAGGGGAATTGGTTACAAGTTGTTATTGATCATGGTAAGGAAAAAAAATTGAGCAAAAGAGATTATATTCAGGGATCTCATTTTGAAAAGAAAAAGGGGGATATAGGAATGATAGGATAAAAGGGTAAATTATTGAATCTACTTTTAAAGTAAAAAAAAAGCAACTACTAGTCTTAAGCAGTTTACATTGGTAAGGACTTTTGTATACTGATACAAATTTACGGTTATTTTTGTTAGAACATATTATGTATGTTTCTACTCTTGCTTAAGGTATTGTACCTATGCAACTCATTTTAAAATGCAATGTAAAGCTCTAGTCCTTAAAGGCTATTATTATAAATTGTTTAGGATAATTAAGATGTAGGTTAGTCATCTATAACAATCAAATTTGTGGCCATGTTAGGTATGTTTTGAAGGTCAAACAGATATATTTTAGATAGATGGTCTTCAAATACTTCAGAGACCTACAGGATATGGCATTTAAGATGTTTTTAATAGCATAAAACTTTTCGTGATAGTGAGACACATCTGCTCCTGGCAGCACCATTTTATTTCAAAAAATGATGACAAACATTGAAGAACCTCCATATGGAGTTTGCTTTCATTGTGGTAAGCTGGCCATTTGGGCAAGAAACTGACTGCCCTTGCCTTGACTGCTGACAGTACGCTGTGCAAACTGGACAAGCAGGACACAAGAGTGACTGCTAAACTTTGTCAAGACAAGGTAGGACAGTCCTTCAAAATTCCTGCTTCACGGAAATTCTGTCAAATATTCTAAGCCTGTAGGCTGAAGACGTATGCCCCAACATTGTAGAGGAAACTTTGTTGACTGTCCAGGCTGTCAGCTGTTCTGTCATCTCTACAATTTTAGAAATTGCTTGCTCTGCACTTCCTGTTTACTCAGGTAATATTATATCTGTCTCGGGTCTCTGATGGGGTTAAGACAGTTAAAGTTACAGTTTTGTTATCAAATTCAGAAAAGACACTCATATAAGAGATATCAAGCTTATAAAGGTTGAGAGACATATAAACCTAAGTTGTTTATCTAAGAAAACGTTTTAAGGACTAAAAGGATATTTTTAGGATGGCAATATAAATTATGATTAAAAAATGGTTTAGGGCTGGGTGATAGTGGCACATGCCTTTAATTCCAGTACTTGGGGAGGCAGAGGTAGGTGAATCTCTGTGAGTTTGAGGCCAGCCTGGTCTACAGAGTGAGTTCCAGGACAGGCTCCAAAGCTACACAGAGAAACCCTGCCTTGAAAAACCAAAAAAAAAAAAAAAAAAAAAAAAGAGCTTAGGTATAAGACTTGGATTCATCAAGATAGAATAGAAAATAAAATAATTTTTCCAAATTTGCCAAATAGTTTTACTGTATTAGAGTTAAAATCTTTCCTTTTTATTTATTTAGACAAAAGGGGGAAATGTTGCAGGATATTTGTACACTGTGTGAAGATGTATGGCTGTGATTGGTGTAATAAGAAACTGACCAGCCAATAGCTAGGCAGGAGGTAGAGGCGGGACTTCTGGACAGAGAGAAAGAGGAGGCAATCAAGGAACACAGGAGACACCATTTTAATGCAGAACAATTTGACCACGCTGAACATGAGAGCAGCAGAAGTCATGTGGTAGAATGTAGATTAATAAAAATATGGGTCAATTTAAGTTATAAGAGCTGGTGTGACAAGCCTAAGCCAATGACCAAGCTTTCCTAATCAATAGAAGGCTTCATGTCATTTGTCTGCTGGCGGCCCATTCCAGAGACACAGCCGAGAACAAGACCAACGGCTCTATGCAGACGTAGAAGATGACAACAGAAAGACACCTAGCAAGGAAGGCCAGTGACCAGTAGACAAATGGTGCCCACCTCAGTCACATGCAGCATATAGCATGTGAGAGCAGAGGTGCCCTCTTTCTCACTGCTGTGAGCTGTAAGGTGGCCGGGACTCTACCTCTGGGCACTAGTTCAGTAGAAAAAGCCTGTCCAACAGAGTTGCCCTGTGGCCACATCCAGAGGACCATGGTTAGACATATGGCCTAGTGCTGCACTATGGTCCCATCAACAGAACCAGGCTAGGCATGTGGCCCAGTGCTGTGGTCATATTGAGACTCCATAATTAACTCGATCATGGCCATTGAAGAGCAGAGATTGCTGTGCTGAACTTGAACCCATAGTTATGGAAATAAAATTATGCAAAACAATACACTGATAGCCTGATACATGGTAAGGGATGGAACTGCAGCCCTCCCGAGATTCCACCCACCATTCCTGACCCTGTCCCTCAGGTGCAGCTCACAGGAAGTGGAAGGTTCACTGAGGATGGCACTCCACTGACACGGCTTTTGTCAGCTGTACCCCAAGCTGCTGTGAAGCTCCGGGAAGCTCACTGGCTTACCACGCTGGGTAGAACTATCCCTGTATTTGCTGGAGTATTACGCGGGTGAACAGATGTTCTGTATATCTCCCTAGGAAAACCCACACAGCAAATCAGAGCCTGAATAGACACAATAGAGCCAAGGAAGAGTGTTGGACAAGCTGCTGCATTGCTTGTTATGGGAAACAAGAGGAATCTGCAACTGCGGCCGAACCATCTAAGGTTGGAGCATGTGCAGCGGAATCTCAGTGCGCATGTTCTTGTGTTGTATAGCTGGAGGTACTGAAAACACACTCAACTGGAGCATATAACATGCCTTCAGGCAGCACACTGGGGACAGGACTGGAAGCAGGCCACAGTACCATCATCTGGCTACTTGCTGGAGATGGAGGGCCAGAAAATGCCCATGAGCCGTAAGTAGCTAATAAACTACCTGGTAAGTAGGACTTAGAGGATCCTAATTAGTGTCCTAGCTGGGGGCAATGGATGTTTCTTTGTGTGTTGCAACACGGGAATGCCAACAGCAAAGCTATTCCCAGCAGTCCCAAACTGAAGCAGTCAGGGTATGAATCAATCATGGTCTATGCAAAGCACAGACATAGCAACAGGCAATCGACACGGGAGAGCACGGGCCCATACAACAGGATTCCACTTACAGGAAGGCCAAGCAACAAATGTGCTGTAAATGTTATCAAAGGGGAACAGGGACAGACTGAGTTGCGGGTGGTGGAGAGTGGATGACACAGTCAGTCACTCTGGGTCACAGCATGGACTTTTCTGCTTTCCTCATGACTTCCCTCTCAAGCTTCAAAGATCGGGGCTACCCATGCTTTGGTCTTTTCTCAAAACCTTGGTGTCTTAGTGCCCAGCACCTGACCTGCCTGCAGTGGTCACCTGTGAGAGGCCATAGCCCATGCCCAGCACCTGACCTGCCTGCAGTGGTCGCATCTTGTCAGCATGAGGCAGTGTTTCCAGTAGTGGAGGTCCAGGCCCTCTTCTGTGAAAGACTCATTCCTCTCCCCACAAAAGATGCAAAGACTACAATGAATTAGAAAAGGCAGAAGTGAAGGCTTCATTCTGGCTACCATGACCACTCAACCCCCAATGCATTAGACTCAGAACTCGCTAGGCCACTCCTGTCCTGAAAGGCCTGGTGCTCCACAGGCAGGCTCTGCCTCTTGAGAAAGACAGCAGGGCTCAGGTCAGGGTTCTTGCCTCGAGAAAGGCCTCACCAAGCAGATGGCATGAAGTCACAGAAGAAGTGGAGGATAGCTCAGGCCCGTGCAGATTGGATCTGCCCCTGACAGGATATCCAGGGTAACTGTTTGGAGCAAGATGGGACAGGCTACAGCTGGCCTAAGCCAGTATAAATTGGCTTAGGGCAGTTTCCAGGCTTTGGACTCCAGAAGAGGTGAGCCAGGGAGGAGATACACGCTCAGGGTCTCTGCAAGCCCCCATGTAACAGACACAGGTAGTGCCACTCACTTATCCAAATAGTGGTTATCTGGGATTTCCGGAGTGTCAGATGGGGCAGCTTTCCTTCCTTGAAGGTCTGAGGAGATTAAAAAAGCATAATCTAAGTAATGTTTGGTTGAAATGTTTAAAGTTTCAGCAAAAAATAGTAATTTATGTCAGTTTGGTTTCTATAAACCCAGTGGTCAGGTGTCCAAGCACAAAGTAAGCTCCAGTTGGGGGTGCAGAGCCAAGAGAAGCAGCTTTCTTTCCTTTTTTTCAGTGCTAGGAGCCAAATCGAGGCCTTGCACATCCCAGTCAAGCACTGGCACCATGAGCTAGAGCTGCAGCCCCGGGTTTGTGGCCAACGCCTTGTGACACAGCCTGGAGTAGCTACAAACTTGATGCAGTGCTCCGAGTGAGCATGGCCCCCACAGGCTCATGTCTGAACACGTGGTCCCCAGGTGGTGGGACTGTTTGGGACGGATTAGGAGGTGTGGCCTGTTGGAGGAGGTGTGTCACTGGTGGCAAGCTCTGAAGTTTCAAAAGCCCATGCCATTCCCAGCATCTCTCCTCTCTCTGGTGCCTGTGGATCGGATGTGAGCTACTCAGCTACTCAGCTACTGCTGCAGCACCATGTCTGCCTGCAGCCATGCTCCTGCCGTGGTAGTCATGGGCTCACCCTCTGAAACTGCAAGCCCCAAATAGTTTTTCTTTTCTAAGGTGCCTTAGTTATCGACATCTTATCACAACAGAAAAGTAACTAAGGCATTTGCCATCCTCCTGCCTCATCTGCCATTCACCAGGCCTGCTAAAGGAAGTGATTTTGTTTTGTTTTGAGACAGTCTCACTATGCAGCCCTGGTTGACTTGAAACTTGTTTTGTAGCCCAGGCTGGCCTCAAACCCACAAGAAATCCTCTGTTTCAGAGGGCTGTGATTAAAGGTATGCGTCACCATGCTCCACAAAGGAAATGAAGTCAGTGCTGAGGTGTCTTGGCTGGAATTCGCTCACCTTGATTTCTGAGCTTCACACCGTCGTCCTCCTTCTCCTAGGACACACAGACAGCAATGGTCAGAGTGAACTGCAGCTGAGTTAGTCTACCCAGGGCGCACTGTCCTCAAAGTGCATGTCTAGGTTTTGTTTGATATTTCTATCAAAGAATAACAGAATTCATGTTTTTCTATTCATTCATTCATTCAGGACAGTTCTTCCTATCTATCTATCTATCTATCTATCTATCTATCTATCTATCTATCTATCCATCCATCCATCTGTAACAGT